GTACACCTACTCCCTTGGGCATACTATACTCATTTGGAGCGTTAATGTACACCTACTCCCTTGGGCAGAAGACCTACTTGGGAGTATTTTTCTTTTTATCTATACTTTTGGAATTACCGAAGGATTACTACAAGAATAGCTTCTAAATAAAAATAAAAATAAAGGATTTTGAGTTTTGTTATGCTTCTCTCACCAAGCAAATATTGGATGCCTTTATTCACTCTTGAGGCAATTATTCTTTTTAACCGCATTGTATGTGATTTGGAAAAAAAATTGGTTAGTGTATGGGCTAAAATTTTTTATACTCAAAATTTGGAGTCTCAAAAGTGCATCTAATTGGATTTTGTCTGATTGAGCAAATAGAGAGTAAGCCCTGGCGGCAGCACATACATCTTTAATTTATTCCATTAAACAAATGTACTCCTCTAAGAGCACAATGTACCATTATTCCCCTAAAGTTTTTTTTTTTTGGTTCTTTGAATTCACTTTACAATCTTTGTGCTTATTTTCAAAAAATAAGAAGTGAAAATTTTAATGTAACAAGCCATTTCTTTTAGGGAATCTGCTTGGGGTGCATTTAACACACCCAAATTGTGGAAGTGGGAGGAAGTCTCCCACGAAATATAGAAGAGTGGTCTTCCATCACTTTTTATGAAAAAGGACTCTTCTAGAAATGAACCATTTCTAATATTTTAAAAGTGTGTGTGGAAGAGCGTGGAAGGCAGCATTTCCAAAATATCTCTATATTATTACATACAGGAGTGGACATTTTACTCGCACTTCCAGAAATTCCTTCAATCAAAGATGCCCTTATATTATGCTTCAACAAGAACACACTCTGCTGCCTCTTTTCTCATGGGGCGCGTTTCGAACTCCAGTTTACTTTAAATAGCTAGTTTAGAAATTCCGAACTGATTACTTATATCCATTTTTAGAAAAAGATGGTTTGGAATTTCAAATTCCAAAACAGTTTCTTAACAAAAAGTTCAATGCAGAAATTGAAGTTCAAAACTAAATATTAATCCAAAAAATATAAATACCATATTTAGAACTAACTGAAACCACTTTTAAGAAATATCAATAAACCTGAAATAAAAGACGTGCGTGTAAGAAATATTTTCTAAAGGTTGCAATTTTCATTGACATGGGTAGTGCAAATTTTTTGAAGTTCCTCAACACAAGAAATGGGTGCTTCCATTGCCCATTACCTCGTTCTTGTTGCTTTTTTCTCTAAACTTCTCTTCATTCTCCTACTCTCTCAAACATCTCTCAAAATCTCCCCTCTCCTCACTTTGCAGAGAGACCCCAATCAGTTCTGTCTCCGTCGTTTTCTCTCTTCTTCTCTCCCTTTGCTATCACCCCCCTAGGCCCCTTTTTTCTTTATCATCTCTCTCTTCCCCTATATATCCAACGTCGCTTTTTTTCTTTTTTCTTTTTTGTTTTTGAATGCTACCTGGTATTTCATTGAGATTATGAAAGAGTTACAAGAGTTAAGAAAAGAAAATATAACGAAGATATAGAATGGCGTAAAGCCAGGGAGAAGGGGATAAAGCAAAGAGGGGGGAGAAAGATACAAATAGAAAAGAATGAAAAATTAGGTAGACGAGGTCTGAATCATTTAGGAGGTTGCTTCTTTGGCCAAGGTATCCGCTGTTCCGTTTCCCTCTTTATTGATATGGTTGAAGGACACTTCTGTCACAAAGAATGTGAATAATCTTGTCCATTGTATGGCTCCAAGCCCAAAGGTTTTTGTTTTTTTTGGGGGTCTTACACTAGGCAATTACATTAGTTAAGTCTCCTTCAATGATGACATTAGTACGTTGAGTCTCCAATTTGGTCACCTCAAACGTCAGAGCCCATAACTCTACTTTATTAGTTGTGCATGGGTGTAAGCCTCCTTCACAGTCAAGATAATTTCGCCCATTTTATTTCTCAACTGTTCTCCATAGCCTACTACCTGTCCACCCTCTCTCACATTCCCATCAAATGTTTAATTTCACAATGGTAGCACCTATCTTGAGGGTTTGATGATGCTCTTCTTCCTAAAAGCAGGTCTTTTATATTAATGTCAAAAAGCTCCGAATGCACATCTCTATAGCATGCAATTGATTGTACCCAAATTGTGGATGAACATATAATTGCCTGACAAAGCCCTTCCCTAGCTCTTGATTTACCTTCAAAAGCAGAAGAGTTTCTTTCTTTCCAAACATTCCATAAGACCGAGGTCAGCAAGATTCTTCGTAAAGGCAACTCATAGTAAGGAAAAAGTGGTGATAAGGCAGACCTAGAGCCAACTTGCCTCCGTAAATAACAAGTTCCATATCTCCTTCACTCCTGGACAGTGAAAGAATAAGAGGGGAGTTAGCTTCCTCATTCATTTGATAGGATAGACAGATGTTGGTGATGATTGTAGCTCTCTTCTTAAATTTCTCAATAGATAAAGTTCTATCTTGGAACACTAACCATAGGAAGGTTTTCACTCAATGAGGCACTTTGCTTTGTCGTACTCTCCTAAGAAATGTTTAATTAGCATGAAATTGCCCCTTGTTAATAAATCATAAAGGGATTTAATAGAGAAGGACTTGGGATATAATTTCCACACGACTATGCTTGGCTTACTGGGGCAGAATGACTGATTGAAGAGAGTCTCCATAAGGGTACAATACTGCTATTCTACCACTTGTTTTACCCTCCTACCGAGTTTTATGTCCCAAACTACTTTAGTAGCCTCCCCAATTGCAATCTCACTAATAAGAGCATGTTTCTAAGTGGGCTTTTGGTACAATTCTGGGAATCTAACATATAGTAGATAGTTTCCGGGCCATTTTGAGATCCAAAAATTTAGTATTGATCACAATTCGCAACCAACATTCTGCTATAATCCACAAACAACTAACTAATTGATTCCTTTCGACACTGTTGAAGCTAAGGGCCCTTGCTGAAATTTTTTAGCTATATGGCCATCAATTGCTATACCATAATTGCATAGGATAACCTTGTCCCATAGTTGATCTATCTAATTGCTTAGTCTCTACCACCAATTGGTCCATAGAGCTTCATTGACCAATCTGAGCTTATAGATACCCAGGCCTCCTTCTTTCTTAGGCAGACAGACTACACTCTATTTAACCAAGCTATATTTCTTACTTTCTTGTAGATCACTCCATAAGAAGTTCCTTGTGAGGTTTTCAAGGGATTTCACCACTCTTGAGGGAGCTCTGTAGAGGGACAAGTAGTAGATAGGGAGGTTGGATAAAGTAGTTTTAATAAGAGTTAAGCGACCCCCAAAGAGAGGTATCTATATTTCTACCCATTCAACTCGTATTGAAATCTTTGTATGACGGGGTCCCAATAGCTGGCCGGTAGTCATTATTTAATGCTATCCCCAAGTACTTGTATAGCACTCGTTCTGACTTCCAGGTCCCCACATTAATACCTATCATTTTGGTTTTGTGCAAGTTTAACTTGGCTATATAAATCACTACATAACATTTCAAGAAGATCCCAAAAAAAACCTGATTTCTACCTTATTACATTCTGGGATAAGAATGGTTTTCATTGCCAATAAGGAACTTGACTTGACTCAATTTGGGTGAATTGTGCTATGAAGAAAATTTAAGTTTGTATTAGCAATACTTTCACAAGGAACTTGACCTGACTTAATTTGGGTGAATTGTGCTATGAAGAAAATTTAAGTTAGTATTAGCATTGCTATCACAAGAACAAGGTTTCAACTCTCTTGACATATCATGGAACAAGTTCACCTCCTTGCACGCTCAAAAAACCCTGATGTCTACCTTCTTGCCTTCTGGGTTAAGAACGAATTTCATTGCTGGTTGGCGTGTTGGTTTAGTGTAAGTGTTCAAACCATTTTTATGTGACTTAGCCGTGTCCATTTGGACTCAGCCAGGCTATGGGGGACTTGTGCCCAACTTGTCTCCCACCAAAACCCCCTAATTTTTTTAAAAAAATGATAAAAAAAATCTAAAAAAATTAGAAGCGACCAGTATATCGCTTAGAAATGATCTTTTAGATGATTTTGAGTATGATTTGGGATTGCCAAGATATAAAATCAAAATTTCCAATAGTCCAATAGTGAATTTTATATATTTTTTAATCTTCTTTAGCCATCTAATGACTTCTATTAACTCTAAATACTTTTTCAATTTTTTTATTATTTTTAGAAACTTTTTAGTTTTGTTATTTTTTTTATATTTCAGATGGTTGTGTATAACTCGGCCAAATCCACTTGCCTCAGCCAAGGGCCAGGTATCTTAGCCGAGGCAATCTCCTAAACATTGGTTCAAACAATAATCTTCGCCAAATAATCGATAAGTGGAGTTTACAATCTGGTGCTCGGCTTCAAACTCAATTATTTTTGTTTCTCTCTCCAGAAAGCCCATTTTAATGAAGTTCAAACCAAAACAAAAATGGTGGCCACGGATGCTCCATTTCTAGAAGATCTAAGTAAAGCTGGAGAAAATTCCAGTCCAAGTAATCTAGAAAATTGAATTGAGAGGGAATTGGATGATTATGCCATGAAATAAATATGTTCCTTGATTCCCCCTCATTCCGCGCCTATTTTTTCATGCTTAAAATTTCTCTCAAGATGAAAGCAATAATAATACATTTATTGAACCCAATCAGTATATTTTATTTACAATCGCAGTCTAGCAGAAAGAAGCAAGAGGGGAAAACCAAATACATGAGACATGGTCATGCATCCATCCGGATAATGCATCGTAGACATTCGCCTTGGAGCATCAAATCGAAAGCCTTGTTTATATCCTGGAAACTCACCTCATGGGTGATGAATCCTTCCAATTGAAGCTCCTAAACATCAACAATGCATGTAATGAGAATCACTTCCAATTGTTTGTATTCTCTCTCTTTCTCCATTGGTTGCAGTAACTCTCTCTCTTTTTTTCTTTTTTTTGAGTGATTTACATGCGGTTTCTAAAAATTTTGGCAAACTACAAAATGGTACGTTTATAGGAGAAAATTATAAAGAAAGTCAGTCAAGCCGTCTTTTTTTTATTTTTGTCTAAAATTGTCCTTGGGTCAATTCGAATTTTGATTTTTCACTGCCCTACTAACAAAAAAAAAAAATTAAAAATCAAAATCCGAGTTGACCGAGGGGAATTTTGAAAAAAAATATAAAAATCAAAATCCGAGTTGACCGAGGGGAATTTTGAAAAAAAATATAAAAATCCTGGTTGACCGACCTTCTTTGTATTTTTGCCTATAAGTGGAGCATTTTGTATTTTTGCCTATAAATGAAACATTTTGTATTTTATCTAAAATTTTAGAGTCCTACATAAATAACTTTTTTTTTTCTGTTTTGCTTTTTTTTAATATAAGTTGTGGCTTGTAAGAAAGGTGCTCTAGACGGCACGTTGTGGCACTCCCGCTCCGACCACTTCTGCCTAGACCACATTCTCAAAGATCCCCTATCTAAATTAATCCTCTCCTCTAAATTGACAATGCTCTATCTCTCTCTGTGGCCATGTCCCTGTCCCTGTCCACCTTTTTAAGATATTTGTTTGCCAAAATGGGGATATCGGCTTTAGGTTTGATTCCTCCAAACATGGAACCCATCACAGTTTTTCCCTTGAGGATCTCCAATGCGCTGATAGATAACGGAGCTCCATGCATTTCTACTCCCAATATTATGGTCTTTCCCCAACCCTGGAAGTGAAAAGAATAAAAAGCAAACCTCTGGTTAGAGATGAGCATCTTTTGCTTGCTATTTTCCTTACTACGGTTTAGTATTGTAAAATACACACAAGAAAGCATATTTTGCAGTGGTATAAGAGCACATTACCAATTGCAAGACCATTCCATCCCAAATTTTAGCATAGGTCTATCCAAACTGGGCTTTAACTCAAATTTTAGCATATGTCTGTCCAAACTGGGCTTTAACTCAAATTGGAAACTATAACGTGGTAACTAGGTATGGGGTACTACCACAACGATCCAGTCCCTTTAACTCAGTTGAGTGAAGCTAAATTTGTGAGAAAAAAGTTCATTAATTATACCTGCACATTTTGCTTCATTTTCAATCTTGAACTCCCAAATCCAGATGTAATTATAGTTAGCCGACATTAGCCGCAGGAATCAATCACTCATTTTCATGTTTAGGTGTCAAGTGAAATGCGTACTACTGGTGAGTATGAATTGAACACCAAAGGTATAAAAGTGCAAGTCCCTGCAAATTGTATAGAAAGCCTGGTGATAATATTTTTCTTCCACTTACCGGCCGACTGCTTAGGAATGCGTCACTCATGAGAGAAGCCAGTCCGACACATTCAAAACAATAGTCTGCACCACCATCAGTCATCGCTCTTACGACCTGCCATCCACCCAAAAGAGATTTTATAGCTGAAGAATGGAATGGAGAATTGGTTAATTTCATTGTGTTATTTGGAATTGCATGTAGGAATCACAAGATTTACCTCATGCACTGGTTTGTCACCACATTCTTTTGGATTGATGAAATCGGTGAGCCCATAAACCTGCCCTGCATAAAGGAAAAGGAGAATGCGAAGAATACCATAACATGCTGAGCGAACCAGGCAAAGCTATGGGGATTAAGTTGGCGACTCTTTCACTGAAAACATTATGGCATCAACGCAGCGATAACATATGGTATGTGTTAAGCTATATGTGAGGTAAATAACATCTAAAATTTGTTCCATTTATAAAATGGACGGTTCTAGGTGATAGCTGTGTGCCTAGATGGTAACCAGATATGAAAATTGAGTGTTATGGTGCTATGTAACATTTCTAAATGGACAGACGTAAATGATACCGCGCAGGGAAGCCAATAATGTGATTCAGACTGAAAGGGTGAGATGATACGAAACATATCCAAGATTATTGTTTCGTATAATCAGCAATGGATTTGGAAGAAACTGGGCGCTTACCGAGTTCGAATTTTTGAGGATTAAGATCCACCCCAATAATCTTCGATGCCCCCTGTATTCTTGCTCCTTCTGCAACCTGAAACAAACAATATGTGTCCGCAACGCATCCTCAAGCTTCTCAGCAAAATAAAGAGCATGAGGAGGAATTTCTAAAGGAAATTGAGTTTGAATTACCTTTTACATTGAGATAAAAGAAGGCCCATAAGCACAACTTTTAAATGTTTATATAGAATAAAAAGAGTGGTTTGGTTTGGTCACAAACTTACAGCGAGTCCCACTGTTCCCAATCCGAAGATGACCACTGTAGATCCTGCTTCTACCATTGCGGCTCTCCACGCACCTCCCACTCCTAATTTTCATCATTTACCAAATTACACATTGCTCACATAAATACATGTCGGCTACAGATTATTAACCTCAATACAAATGGGAGGTATCTACTATTTTTCTTTATTTCTATGAGGTGAACAAGTATCACAAAAAAATGCCAATTAAACCTGCCTGTTCCAAAATGATTGTAGGCTTCTTGTTGGTTAATCGTGGCAATAGGTTGAGTGGGCGGGCTTGGCCCAGCCCAACCGGCCTGGCCCTTAAAGATTAGGGCCTGCGTCAAGCCAAAACAGGTTCGGCCTAGGCCATCCCTTATTTATTTATTTATTGTTTTTTGCATTGTTTTTCTTTAGTTTTACCTGGTCGGGGCTAGGCCCAACCCCACCCGGATAGGCCAGGGCCGGGTTTGCCAGGCCTTGATAGGGCTAGGGCCAAGGCCAAGATTGGGCTGGCCGTCATTGGTATGGGGCTGAGCTAGGGCTTGGCAGAGCCCATCCTAGCCCGGATAGGCCAGGGCCAAGCTTCGCTAGGCCCTAATATAGCTCGGGCCAAGGCCAGGTTGGGTTGGCCCTCATGGGTATGGGGCTGGGCTAGGGCCTGGCATGGCCCAGCCTAGCTCTACAGAACTGGCCATAAAAAAACCTAGGGCTTGGGCTGCGCTAAGATGGGCCTGCACCGGTCCAGCCCTTATTTGTTTATCCTTTATTGCATCATTTTTCTTTAGTTTTACCCTGTTAGGGCTAGTCCTAGGCCAAGGTCAGGCCCGGCCCATCTCAGGCCCGGCCCACTACCAACCCATTTGTGGTGTACCATATAGCATATAATGGGAGTTTAGAACATAGTTAACAAGTCTAAGGAATAACAAAAAATCAGCTCTCCACAAAAAAATGAGGAGAAATATACTGTATCAGATTTAAGCTAAAAAAATCGGAGTGAAAAAATAAGATATGTTTAAAATTTTAAATTCAAAATCGGAGTGAAAAAATCAAATATGTTTAAAATTTTAAATTCTCAAAAATATATAGTTTTGAAAGTTATAAACCAAAAATATAACCTAACTATGGGTTTTAACGTACGGAGTACCTTAGAAGTACGCTCTTGGGAGGGCGCATGAGCTCAAAAAATGTGCTTCCTCTAAAATCATGACACCTCACACTAGACGCCTCTCTCCATTCAAAGCCCTATTTGTTTCCCCAAAAACAAGTGGTTCTCTTAAATTGTGGGGCTCTCTATTCATAGCCCTACAAGTGGTTTTCTTAAATTGTGGGTCTCTCTATCCATGGCCCTATTTGTCTCTCCACAAGAAACATGACTGGCCCCTCTTCCTTTGACCCTTGAGAGTTTTGGCTGCTTTGTTGAGCAGAAGGGAGAAAGATAGAGAGGTAAGTTACCTTTTTGGGCAGGATTTGGGAACCAGAAAGGATTTGGGAACCAGAAAATCATTCCGGGGCTGTATTAGGGTGGCAAGGGTTTTAGGATAGTAACTTGGGAACTAAAAAATCAAATGGTGGGGATAAATTTTTCTTTTTTTCTTTGTAGAGAATGAAGTTTTTTAGAGCGCGGTGTAATTTTTTTTTTAGTCGAGACTGGCCTGGGTTTTGGCGGTTGTATTGATTAGGTCTCTTATTCCACTCACCAAAAAGGTAGGGGCCTAAAATTCCCTACTGACGTATTACTTTTACCGGATTGTTTTGGACTAATCCAATAAAACCAATTTTTTTAGAAGGGATAAAAATAGAAGGACAGAGCTGTACAAGTCTTACTAGAAATAAAATTAGAAGTTTCATAAAAGAGAAAAAATGTTATAAAGCTTTCAAAACAAGTACAATTTGGAGGTAATAAATAAAAAAAAATTTAATCGTTTTTTTAAAGTTCAATATAACGTGTTTAAATAAAATATATAAAAAAAACTAGTCTTTTATTTATTTATTTATTTATTTTTATTTTTTTGCCTATTTTTAAAAAAAGTGTGGTTTGTATAGAGCCTAAGGTCTAAACAATCAATTAGAGCCTACCTTCAAATCGTATGGAGAAATATAGTTTCCATAATCTTTGTGATAGTGTTAAAATATATTTTCATTTTTATTTATCAAATTTAAAGTTTCAAAAATAGTATAGATTGACAGATCTATGAAAATTTGAAAATTGATGGTTAAAAAATATGTTACAAACCACAATATTTCCAAAACTTGATATCTATTATTTTCTCATGTCCATGTATTTTGAGGTCGAGATAATCAATTTGAAGATATTTAAACAACAAAACAATCTTTTCTAGTAAAATTTTTGAGGTGGGCTCTAATTTGATTGTTTAGAACCTCGACTCAAAAAAACGCCGTTCTTAAATGTTTTTCACAAAAAAGGCAATTTTTTCTTAAGCCGCGTTAGAAACAAAGACTTGATCACTACACCTTGCGGTCATCAAAGTTACGCTGAAGCTGTGAACCGTGACAAAAAGGGTAAGAAAAACCAGGGAATTTGACTTGCCAGTTGAGATGCCACAGCTGAGAAGGCAAGCCATATCTGGAGGCAGATCAATGGGGATTTTAACAACATTAGCAACGTCCACAACGGTGTACTCAGAGAAACTGGAGACACCAAGCACTTGGTATATAGGAGAAGGGTGGTGGCGGCCACCAGCGAGAGCAGAGAACCTGGTGGTGCCAGAACGAATCATGCTTCCAGCGATTTGGAAGGGGACCTTAGTGCATAGGTTGCTTTTTGGTGATTTGCAGTCGGTGCAGTCGCCGCACTCTGGCAGAAAGAAGGGAACCACCAAATCCCCCTCCTTCACTTCATCCACCCCCTCTCCCACGCTCTCCACCACCCTGCCCCATAATCGACCCACTCAACTTATTTCCCATGTTTTAAGTTAACACACAGATTTTGGCTCCTATCTAAAGAGACTCTTACTCTGATAGAGAGCCCTATTGAGTAAAAACTATATGGAAGAATAGACTTATATCAAGAGAGAGCAAGAGATAGAGGCTATAAATTCCTATAAAAAAGAGAGGGAGAGATTCTTATGAGAACAGAGAAAAGAGTACCCAACGGCTTCGTGGCCGAATATTAGTGGAAAGGGCAGGGGCAGATCCTGTTAGAGAGAAAGAGTAACAAGAATTAGAGGTTGATTCTAGAGAGAGAAACAAAAATTAGAGGTTGATTCTACAAGAGGTTGATAAAAGAAGTGAAGGGGGAGTTAAAACAGAATATGGAATTGGCACCTTGCGATTCCGGTAAGTGATATCGCTGTGGCACAGGGAGGTGCATATGACCTTTATTCGAACTTCATATCCTTGGGGTGGAGCCACTTCTATCTCTTCTATCACCAGGACTTCCCCTGGGTTCCAACATACAGCAGCTGTACTCCCCCATAAACTCCACTGTCAAAGCTCAAAATTCATAACAAGAAGAAAGCTAAATTGCCATTAAATCACTTAGAGAGAAAGGGGAGTTGAATTTCGATCCCTGACCTTTGCAGCGGATGGGTTTGCCCTTGGTTTGCTCCTCCATTTTTGTAGTTCGTCGATCTCCCACAACCTTCCTCAGATGATATAACACGGCTTCTCGCAAATGCAGCCAATTTTAAAGTCCACACGTTTATCACTTGTGTTTATAAGGGGAAAATCTTTAGGGTTGTGCCTCTATAACGAACGTTGTCCATGCTCACTTCTTGCATTTTTATCTCAACCTACCCACTTTTTTGCTGGCAATTGGTCAGACCGCCCCCCCCCCCCAACAAGGGGTCAGAATGGGGCGAGATCCGATCAGATATAGATCAAAATCCGAATAGTATAATCGGATTCGGATTCAATCAGATCCTGAATATTCAAATCAGGATCGAGATTTGAATAGTATAAATCAGATTCAGATCTAAATTGTATATATACTATTTAAAAAATTTATATATAAAATAATAATTTATTATTGAAAACAAGTTGGGTTGGATCTGGATATGGATCTAGGTCTGATCCACCACCACTCGAGTTTGATCCAAATTTCAATTTGGACCTGACCTTTGGGTATGAGTCCGGATTTTGGATCGATAACCTAATTTGAATAAGGTCTTAAATCGAGGTTCAGATCTAGATCAGGTCAACTCTAACCCGTACCAGGCACTAAAAAAAACATAGGGCTTGGGTTAAAAATTGTGGCTCGGCGGTTTAGATTGGGGCGAGCGCATATATGGTTCAACCGAGTCTGATCCCTTTATTTTTTATTACTTTTCCAAAAAAAATTATCTTATCTTTGACCTAACGAGGTCGGGTTGGCCCTACGAGGACAATGGTGGGGCCACGGTCACCCTCACGGGTTTTACCTTGCCCATTCATAGAGGAAGAAGAAGAATAAAACAAGACGTGCAATGATATCAATCTTGGGTATCGACCTTTCCACCTTCTATGTTGTCAAATTTGAGAGGAAAGAGGAAATAATGTCCAGTTTAATACCCTTTCCCACTAAAGGTGAGTGTACATTACGATTTTGAAGGGTTACATGCGACCTCTGCATGGTATATGTTGTATGTCGTGTCAAGGTTTTAAAAAATAGATCGGTGACCCTTCCAAAATTCTGGTCGGTTCGGTGGATCGGCAACTCAGATAGGAGAATCGATCAGTTTGGGCTTCAAACAATTTTGAAAAATTAACCAATTTAGGCCTCAATTACTTTTGAAAAATACCTAACGGCACGTTTGGTTCGTATGAAAATGATTTTTTAAAAATTATTTTCTTAAAAAATAATTAATTTCTCACATTTGGTATGTCACAAGAGTAAAAAAATATTTTTACCTTTGAAATTAATTTCATAAGAAGTGTCAAAAATCTAAAAAATTGGAGTCATACCTATGTAAGTATGATTCCAATTTCTTTCAAATTAATCAAAGGCATGGGGTTAAGTACGGCTGCCATCGGACCGGTTGACCCGAAGCTCAACAAAGCCGAAAAAGGCTTTAGGCTACCCCGAAAAGTGTACCGAAAATTCCACCCCACCCCCGAATATGTACAATCCTGCCCAGCCCAACCTGAAAAGAATATATTGGGTATGGCCCGGCCCGACCAGGCCCATTAAGAAGTCCTCCCCCTTTTCTTATTTCACTCTTCAAAATTTTTTTGTTTGTAGTAAACCAAAAATAGTTTTTAGAAACTTTAAAAAAATATTGGGGGTCTAGAGAGAGAGAGATTGCATTTTTAGACAGAGAAATAGAGATTGGGATTTTAAGTAGAGAAAGGTATATTGGTTTCTAGAAAGAGATAATATGTTTTTAAAGAGAGATGAGAGATTGGATTTTAGGAGAGAGAAAGATAATGATTTCTAGTGAGAGAAAGAGAGATTGGGTTTTAGATAGAGAAAAAGATTGATTTCTAGGGAGAGAAAAGAGCTTGGATTTTCAGAGAGACAGAGACATTAGGTTTCTAGAGAGAGAGTTTTTAGATAGAGAAATAGAGATTGGGTTCTAGAGAGAGAATGAGATTTTAGAGAGAACTAGAGATTGGGTTTTTAAAGAGAGATAATGGGTTTTAAAGAGAGCAAAAAACGTTGGATTTCTAGATAGAATGGGTTTTTAGAAAAAGTGTAGTTTCTAGAGAGAATGAGTTTTTAAAAAGATTTGTTTCTAGGGAGAGAATACATTGTTAGAGAGAGAAATAGAAAATGGATTTCTAGAGAGAGAGAATAGCTTTTTAGAGAGAAAGATATATTAGATTTTTAAAAAGAATGAATTTTTAGAGAGAGAAATAAATAATAAGATTTAAGATAGAGAAAGGGAGATTGAGTTTCTGAAGAGGGTGCATTTTTAGAGAGAGAAAGAGAGATTAGATTTTTATAGCGAGATGATGGGTTTAAAGAGAGGTTGGGTTTCTAGAGATATAATAGTTTTTTAGAGAGAAATAGATAGTGGTTTTTTAGAGAGAGAAAGAGAGAATGAGTTTTTTAAAAGAGAAAGAGATATTGGGTGGTCTAGAGAGAGAGAATGTGTTTTAGAGAGAGAAAGAGATATTGGGTTTAGACAGAGATGAGTTTCTAGAGAGAGAATTGGTTTTTAGAGAGACATTATATTTCTAGAGAGAATGTGTTTTTAGAGAGAAATAGATATTGGATTTCTAGAGCGAGAGAATGGACTTTCAGATAATGGATTTTTAGGGAGAGAAAGAGATATTGAGTTTCTAGAAAAAAAGAGTTTATAGAGAGAGAGATTGGTTTTTTAGAGAGAAAATAGCTTTTAAGAGAGAGAAAGAGAAATGGATTGTTAGAGAGAGAATAAGGTTTTAGAGAGAGAAAGAGAAAGTAAGATTGGGTTTCTAGAGAGAATCAATTTTTAGAGAGAGAAATAGAGAAAATGAATTTTTAGAGATAGACAGACAATGGAATTGTAGAGATTGGATTTCTAGAGAGATAATGAGTTTTTAAAAAGAGATTGGGTTTTTAGAGAGAGATAATGGTTTTTTAGAGAGAAAGATAGATTGGTTTTTTTGAAAGAGAAAGAGAAAGAGAAAGAGAAAGAGAAAGAGAGATTGAGTTTTTAGAGAGAGATAATAGATTTTTAGAAAGGGCAAGAAAGATTGGGTTTCTATATATAGAGAATTGGTGTTTAGATAGAGAAAGAGATAATGGGTTTCAAGAGAGAGAATGTGTTTTAGAATAGAATGTTGGGACATATGGGTGGCCATGGGCCCTCAAATATTTTTCTCATTATCTTAAAGTCTATGTTTGTCACTAAAATAGAGAGGTGTTTTAAAGAGAGAAAGTTATGTTATCTAACGGGTAGAAAATAACTACCCATATCCCAAGATTACTGGGCCACGTTTATAAGAGTTTTCAGAAGAAACTGAAGGTTGGAGAACGACCTCCTCTATCCCTCTATAACTAAGTCTTTCATGGCTATGGAGAACCACACAGAAAAACTTGAGTTCTCATTGTTCTGGAAAATCCTCCACTCTACGATCCTCAGTCTCATGACACTGCCCTTAATCTTGAGAATTTAGGGTTCCATCTCTTCTCTCATAATCCAACATTGGTATTAGAGCGAGGTTAGCAGAAACGTCGTGGGCTAACCCACAAGTCCCAGTATCAAAATCGATTATTTGGTTTCCTGTGAGGTTATATTTTATTGAACAATATCTCTCTTAAAAGTCTTTTTTTTTTCGATATCAATTCTCTATTTACTCTAATGAATTTTCTCGTCTCAGATAATGTTGATTTCATAAGTCAATTTCATTCGGTTGACAATTTTCTCTCAATTGGAAGAGAACCCAATTAGATGAGCTTCTTGAATTTTTTGTTCGTTTTCTCTTTCATCTCAGCCAAGTTATTTGACTTTTTCAACTTTGTATTTCTCTCCATATTCACCCCACGCATAAAAGACAGAAGTGATAATATTAAAATAAGATGAAAGGAAACTTTTTGCATAGTTTGTCTCATCAACGCATAGCTCCTCCTATCAAAATTTTTTCGTTTCCCTCAATTTTATTTATTTATTTATTTTTCCACTCTTTCCCTAGTTCTGTCTTATACTCAAGCAAAATTCAAGCGTTGAGAAAATAAATAAAATTTGGGGAAAGAAATAGTATTTTTGTCTTTTTTTTCTGACTGCTCTATTTATCTTTTAATATTTTATGTTCCTCTGCTTCTCTCTCTACTGTGATATTGATGCTTTAACCGACCTTTTTGACTGTGAGCCTCTTTTCTCTCGTTATTTGAGGCTTAATCAAACTTGAAAGTATAAATATAGCATCGATAACCCACGCTAGTATTCAAAGGGCCCCACAATTTTTTACGTAAATGTTCCTAGGGCTCAACCCATAAAGAGTAACATGCACCCTTTCTTTTGTTTTTTTTTTTACCAAGCACTCGCATCCCACCAAGGTCTTTAGGTAGCCTTTATTTATTTATCTTTAGAGAAATATTGCTGAAATTTGAGAGAGAGAAAGAGACATATAATTGCTACCGATAATTAATTTTTTGCTGCTACATATTTTTATATATGCTGGAATATAATTTAGAGATACTTCTATATATTCTATTTGCATAATAATTCATTACTTTGCATGATTATCCTATGTTTTGGTCTCTTTTACATAATAATTATCATTCTATTTCATAATTATCTTACGCTTAGGTCTCCATAAGTTAAAAAATTTCATGATCTTGATTTTGTGAATTCATTTTTTTTTGGTGGTTATGCAATGCCATATTTTTGTTGAAAAATATCAAATATCATTATAGACTCTATCTCTTGTGCTAAGACATATTCACATATTTATGAAAATTATTCTTATGCAAGATTTGACATAAAGTAGTTGTTACCTTACTTTATTAATCTTTTGTTGTATCACAGCAGTGCGAACATAAACTGTTTGAGAAAATTTTTCTTTGAGATTGCAGCTCACTGAGAGTCGGCAACCCTATTGATTTAACTAGCAAGTAACTCTTTCTTAAACATAATTAATTTTTTTGAACTTTTAGGGTATTATCTAAAAATTCAAAATGGCATCTAGGCTAGTCATGTCAAAACTATCCAAACTTGAAAAACTCAATGGGACTAATTTTTCTATATAGAAAAGAAAAATTAGATATATTCTTTTCCAAGATAGGATAGATTATGTTCTAAAAACAAAACCATCAGTATTATGTTCTAAAAACAAAACCATCAGTTTTAGAGCCTAATGCCAATAGTCAAGTCAGAAAGTGACTTGACAAATGGTTAAAAGATGACAAAGTAGCTAAG